GGAGGCCAGAGAGGGCCTCGTTCGAAATCATATTCCTGGAAGCCTCTCCGGGAACATGATTTCCGGGTTCCCAGGACGCCCAAGAGGCCCACAAGACAGCCTCAGCAAGGCCCAGGAGGGCCCGAGATGGCTTCAAGATGGCCGAAGAGGGCCCGAAAAGGGTTTTCAAGATGCAAAAATCAGCCGTTCCTATATTAAAACGTACGTTTTCAGTTGACTCGCTGGCTTCGTTTTCAGAGTGCCCCAGACGCCCCCGAGGAGCCCCAAGACAGCCCAAGAGAGACCCAAGAGGGCCCAAGGCGGCCCAAAAGGGTCGTCCTGTGGGGCTGACGGAACCCCCCAAGACGGCCCAAGAGGCCCCGAAGCCAGCCCAGGAGGCCCCCAAGACGGCTTCAGGGAGGCCCAAGAGGGCCTCGTTCGACATCATGTTCCCGATTTCTGGGTTCCCAGGACGCCCAAGAGGCCCACAAGACAGCCTCAGCGAGGCCCTAGAGGGCCCGAGATGGCTTCAAGATGGCCGACGAGGGCTCCAAGAGGGCCTTCAAGAGGCACAAATCGGCCAATTCCCTTCTTAAAACGTGCATTTTCAGCATACTCGCTTGCTTCGTCTTCAGAGTGCCCCAGCCCAAGAGAGACCCAAGAGGGCCCAAGGCGGCCCAAAAGGGTCGTCCCGTGGGGCTGACGGAAACCCCCCAAACGGCCCAAGAGGCCCCAAAGCCGGCCCAGGAGGCCCCCAAGACGGCCTCAGGGAGGCCAGAGAGGGCCTCGTTCGAAATCATGTTCCTGGAAGCCTTTCCGGGAACATGATTTCCGGGTTCCCAGGACGCCCAAGAGGCCCACAAGACAGTTTCAGGAAGGCCCAGGAGGGCCCGAGATGGCTTCAAGATGGCCGAAGAGGGCCCGAAAAGGGTTTTCAAGAGGCAAAAATCAGCCCGTTCCCATAGTAAAACGTACTTGTTCAGCATACTCCCTTGCTTCGTCTTCGCAGTACCCCAGACGTCCCCGAGGAGCCCCAAGACAGCCCAAGAGACCCAAGAGGGCCCAAGGCAGCCCAAAAGGGTCGTCCTGTGGGGCTGACGGAACCCCCCAAGACGGCCCAAGAGGCCCCAAAGCCAGCCCAGGAGGCCCCCAAGACGGCCTCAGGGAGGCCCAAGAGGGCCTCGTTCGAAATCATGTTCCCGGAAGCCTCTCCGGAACATGATTTCTGGGACGCCCAAAGACAGCCCCCAGAGGCCCTGGACACGCCGAAGATGGCCTCAGGACGGCCGACGACGCCGCCCAAACGCCCCAAGAGCGCCTCCAGAGGCCCTTCCAAAGGGCCCCAGAAGCCGAACAGCATCCATTATCCAATGGTTTTTGCAGCATTCTGGCGCTATCCCATGTTCCGCCTCCCCACGGTCCCGGACCGCGTCAGAGGCCCTTCAGATCGTTCCAAGACGGCCGAAGAGGCTCCCAAGAAAGCCCAGAGACGGCCCAGGAGGCTCCCCAGATAAGTCACGAGGGCCTCGAGAGCGCCCCAAGAGAGCCCCAAGAGCGACCCAAGAGGGCTCGAAGAGTGCGACATTTCGAGGTCTCCGGCCTGAGAGGCTCCCAGGACGCCCCCGGAGGCCCTCAAGAGGCTCCCAAGTAGCCCCGTGAGGCTCCCAAGAGGCCCCCCGGAAGCCCCACTAGGCCTCCAATGGACCCCCAGGGAAGCACGCCCCTGTGGGCTCCCAAGACACTTAGGTAAATCGTATTTCCCCGATAGCTTTCTGGGAGCATGATTCCTTGGGCTTCCGCCCACCGCACCAACCATGTTTCCAATAGGCATGCCGACAAGGCCAAAAGGCGCCCCTCGGTAAGCCACCAGAGGCCCCCCTTTAGAGAGCCGAACAAATCATGCTCCCGGAAAGCTTCCCGGGAACATGATTCTCTATCTCGGAGTAGGCCCGGGGCGGGGTGCTGTTCCTCCCATCGGTGCCAGCCGGGGGTTACGGGAGGGGCCCAGGGCTCCCGAGGCGGCCCGAGCCCGCCCCGAAGCAGGCCACGACAGGCCAAGGGGGTCCCGAGAGGACCCAAGACGCTCCCACGAGGCCCCGAAGACGCCCAATATGCCTTCAAGACAGCCGACGAGGACTCCAACACGCTCCAGGACGGACTCAAGAGGCTCCCCAAGACGGCCCTGGAAGGCAAGATTCATTCGTTTTCCGAGTGTTTTGGATTTTGGCGTTCTCGCTTTTCCCGTTTTCCAGCGCTCCCTCACGGCCTCGGAGGCCTTTCAGATCGCTCCAAGAAGGCCCACGAGCCCCCGACGAGGGCCCCAAGACGGCCCAGGATGCTCCCCAGACAACCCAAGTGTGCCCCAAGAGCGCGCCAAGAGAAGGCCCAGAGGGGTCCCGAGGCGGCCCGGGCCCACCCCGAAGCAGGCCACGACAGGCTAATGGAGGTCCCGAGAGGGCCCTAGACGGTCCCAAGAGGCTCCGAAGACGCCCAAGATGCCCTCAAGACGGCCGACGAGGACTCCAACACGCTCCAGGACGGACTCAAGAGGCTCCCCAAGATGGCCGTGGGAGGCAAGATTCATTAATTTCCCGTTGGTTTTTGAAGGATTTAAGGCGTTCTCGCTTTCCCCACTTCCCAGCGCTCCCTCACGGCCTCGCCCGGAGGCCCTTCAGATCGCTCCAAGACGGGCCACGAGGCCCCGAAGAGGGCCCCAAGACGGCCCAGGATGCTCCCCAGACAACCCAACTGTGCCCCAAGAGCTCCCATAGAGAGGACCCAGAGGAACCGATTTTTCGAGGTCTCTGGCAATGGAGGCCGCCTGTAGGCCCCCGGAGGCCACCAAGAGGCTCCCACGAAGCCCCGTGAGGCGCCCAAGAGGCCCCCAGGAACCCCCAAGAGACCCTAGGGGCTCCCAGGGAACGCCCAAGAGGCCTCCCAACACCCCCCAAGAAATCATGTCCCCAGAAAACCTTCTGGGGACATGGTTCATCATGGGCCCGAGAGTTCCCGGAGGCCCGCAAGGGGCCCCCAGGGAACGCGCAAGAGACCCCCCAACACACCCCAACAAACCATGTCCCCAGAAAGCCTTCCGGGGACATGGTTCATCATGGGCCCGCGAGTCTCTGGAGGCTTCGAAGTATCATCATGCTACAGGAGAGCTGTCTGGGAAGTTGATTGGGAACATGACTGATCGCCTTCTCGTGGCCCTCCGCAGATCGTTTCGCACAAAGTTGCCCCAAGTGCCCTCTTGAATCGACGACGACGACAACGAAACGACGAAAACGACGACGACGCGCCCCAACGACGGCGCGCCCCAATAATTAGGCGACGACGACATTACGACGACGACGACGACGACAGCACGCCGCAACTGGCTCCCCAAGACGCCCCCCATGCTCCCAGAAGGCCTTCTGGGAACCCGATTCATACGGCCTCCGCCCCCCTACGCAACCATTTACCTCGAAGGCCTTTCGGAATGCAGACCTGGCATGCGTGGACTGTGGTCCACTACTTCAGTGGAGCAGTGAATTCGTCAAGGCCTGGGGCCTGCTAGAACCTGAGCGCACGCGAAGCGCGCGCGATGGTTCTAGTATTGATATATGTATATGTGAGAAGGGGCGGTTCGTAGAGCCCTCCTCTGCAATGTCCTGCCGAATGCACGGCGGGCGGGCTTTGGCGCCGGACCCGAACGGTCGCTCACTTGTCCCTTCTCACGTTCGCCTGTTGTGATGGTCCCCCTTTGCCGCTGCCGTTTTTTGGCTCTGGAGCGCGGAAGCTGGCGAAGCTTTCTCGCCCGCCTTAGACGCGCCTTCAGGTATCTTCCCGCTGACCAGATACCATACCGCCTTCGCAAGGACATTGAAAAGTACGCTTCTCACATGCTGCACTCTGATTTCAAGTCTGCCCCTGCTCCTCCCCCTCCCCGCCCCCTTGGTAGATGTATCCTCCCTGTCGCCCCCCCCCCCCCCAGACGCGTCGGTAGGGCGGGGCCATGCATTTTGCTTCAGACTTCCCCATTATTTATGATACTGACGCTTGCCAGTTGCAACAGTTGCAGTGGCAGGGGGGCGGCGGTGGTTTTCAACGCGGGGATCTGGACTCTGCGCCAAGCGCATTCGTTCTGAACGCTTGCAGCAGCTCCAGGGATGGAGGCGGGGTCGTTTTCAAAATTGGCCTCTCGCTTCAGCGCCGCGCGCATTCGTTTCAAAGGCTTGCAGCAATGCGGAGGGGGGTTATGTTTCAAAACGGAGTTCCTCTCGCCTTAGCCTCGCGCGAGGTCGTCTGAACAATTTGCAAACATTGCAAGGATTCTGAAGGGGGGGCACGTTGTCGAAATGGGGTTTTCGCCGTGGTTACTTACGCGCACATGCGTGTTAACCTGTTGCAGCGGTTTCGGGGACGTGGGGGAAGAGTCGTATCCAGAATGGGTCTCCTGCGTGTTCTCCGTGCGCATTCGTTGTGAACGCTTACACTCGTTAAAAAAACTGAGTGCGGATCCTGTTTCAACATAGCTGAGGCCCGGGTTCGAACACGTGTAAGAGCTGCGCGGATTGAGGGCGGTTCCTTGTCAACATGGGAGGCCTTCGCTTGAGATTTTTCGGGGTTTGTGGCCATGCGTGTAGACTCCCGCAGCAGTCGCGCGGATTTCGCTGGACACTTTTCAAAACGTACGATCATACATCCGCGCAGTTCTTGTGATCGGTTCGATGGAAGTTTCAGAGGCAGTTCCTTTTTCCAACCGCGTCTCTTGCTGGAGTGGCAGGCCCGTTGTGTGCGTTTCTATTTGCAAGAGGGGACTCTTCAAGTATGCAGAGAAGGAATGTTGATAAGGATTTTTGAAGAAGGGACTTGGCATTAGAGGGTGTATAAAACCATGGTTGACGCATCTTGGGTTTACTCTGCTCCTCCTCCTCCTCCTCCTCCTCCTCCTCCTCCTTTTTCTCCTCCCACCTTCCCCTCCTTTCCCCCCTCGCCTCCCCCCGCTGAGGGCGGGAGGGCCAGGAAGGAACCGGGCGAAGGTGCAGTCCATCCTGAAGCCGAAGTTGGACCCCCCAAAAAAGTTTGCCGTCAAGAAGGATCGGCGGCCGTCTCTTTTTCCCTGCTCGTTCCTCCCCCCTTCCTGCCCGTCACTGTTCCCCCTTCTCCCCCTCCTGCCGTGTCCATCGTCCCTCCTCCCCATCCTCCTTCTCATTACTATCCTTCCTTTTCTTCCATCTCCTCAATGCCCACCCTCTCCTACCTCTCCTCCATCTCTTTCATCTCGCCCTCTGCTTCCATCCCCTCCCTTTCCGTTTTCTCTGCATTATCCTCCATCCCCTCCTCTCTTTCTGTCTCCCCGCGCCTCATCGTTTTCCTCTCCCTCCTTGTATTATTGTCCGTTTTCCTCCTCTTCTTCGTCCGTTTCCTCTTCTTCTTCAAGTTTTTCTTTTGTCCCCTTTTCTCTTCCCTCTTCCTGCTGCTGCTGCTGTTGCTGCTTACGGCGGTCATGATGTTCTTCCGAAGCCGTTCCCAGCCGTGCCCCCCAAACAAGGAGGCAGGGCCGGTATTGAAAGATGGCGCCACAAGCCAAAAGGGGGGGCTACCCCAGGAGGGGAGGGAGAAACGAGGAGGGAGACGACACGGGAGGAACAAAAGGAGGGAAAGCACGCACGACGAGGCGAGGGAGGGGGGGGGAGAGGACCCAGCTATTCACCGAACCCCACGAGCGCCCCCCCATGTGTGGACGGAACGCAGGATCCCCTGCTGCTGCTGCTGCTCCTCCTGGCCCTCCTCGCCCTTCTTCGTCTCCACGTCCTCTTCTTACCCTGCGCCGTCTCGCTCCTCCCTGCCTCCCTCCCTCCCGCCGCCTCGCGGTCGCTTCTTTGCCGCTGCGCTCCGCAGCCTCCATATCAGCGTGCTGCCCTGCCCGCGAATCATGCCGAGGGATTCCGCGGCCACCTTACACTGAGCCTGGAGCTGTCGATCCGACTGCTCGTCCGCTGGCTGGCTCGCTCGCTCCTCTCTCCTCCCAGGATTTTTAATTGATCCGATCGATCCGATTCGATACCGATTCTGGTAGGCTCGATCCGATGGATCCGACTCGATGTCGATTCTGGCCAGCTCGGTCAGACTCGATTCCGACCTCCCGACGATCTGATGCGCTCCGTCGGTGTGCCGCCCCCGTGCTCGCGGCGCCCCTCCGCCGTGGACCCGTCGGCCTGGCGCGCCCCGGGGGCGGCAGCGGGGAAGTGTGGATTTGAGGAAGGCTTGCCGGCCAGGAGGAGGAGGAGGAGGAGGAGGAGGAGGAGGAGGAGGAGGAGGAGGAAGGAGGAGGAGTAGGAGGAGGAGGAGGAAGGAGGAGGAGGGGAGGGAGAGAGGAGGAGGCGGAGGCGGAGGAGGAGGAGGAGGCGGCTCAAGTGCTCTCGCGGCCCCTGTGGCCAGCAGAGCGGAAAGGGAAGCAAGGCGGGGTCTTCCTGCGGAGCATTCGGGGCAGACAGGCCTCCGTCGGGCCTGGGCCGCCGCGCACGCCTGAGGCCAACACGCCTTACGGTGCACACCAGGAGAGGCCACTGGCCCCCACCACGCTCCTGGCCTGGCCCTCGACAGACAGTGCACGCAGCAGTCCTCAGCAACGCGCAGGAGGGGGCAGGGGCAGGGGGTAAGGCTTCTGCCTGGCACGCCTGAGGCCACTACGCATGCAGGCACGCGCGCGGTGAGGAAGCCGCTACTTGTCAGTTGATACGCTGCGCCGCCTGGAGCGGCCCTGCTTAGATGCGGCACAACAAGAAGACGCGGTAGTTTGACGGCCGGTGGGCGAGCCTCGCGTCGATCACCGAGTCGACAGCAGACGGGCGGCACTGTTGCATCCAGCAGGTCAGATTCGTAGAAGCCCACCTCGCTGTCCCCATCGTTGTCCATGGCCTCGTCACTGAGGAAGTCAAAGCCTACGTCGTCATCCCCTTCGATGGTAGGGCTCGTGTCCCCACTAGTTACAAACAAGCGACAGCCACCTGCCTGTATACCACTTCAGCATACAGCTGCACCAAGTCAAAACTACGACCTAAACGCAGCGACTCCAGTCATAGCGCAAATGCAGAGACGCAGGCAATGCGAGGTCACCAAAGCCAGCCTGGACATAATGTTCGTGTACATCTCTCTACACCTTGGGCGTGAATGCATACCGGTGCCTACGCACAATGGCTGGGCGTGTACAGTTGAGCAGAGCCACGTTTCGATAGCATATTGCGAAGGCCTTACGGCCGCTGCCGCCGACCCTGAAGGGAGACGAGAACGACGGCGATGATGACGACGACGACGACGACGACGACGACGACGACGACAGCGGCGGCGGCGGCAACGACGACGACGCTGACGTGGGCCAGAATCCTCAGGGCTGGTTCTTGGGATCTCTTCGGAAGTCTCTCGGAGGCCTCTGGGTAGGAAAATGTAGGAATTGTGGGGCCTCATGGGGGACTCTTGGGGGCCTCTTGGGAGCCTCTTGGGGGCCTCTTCGGGCTTCCTGGGGACCTCTTGTGGGCCTCTTGGTGCCTCTGGGGAACCTCTTGGGGCCGAAGGCTCGAAATGTCCGTGCGGGTCCCCCGTCTGGGCATTCTCCTGGAGCCGTCTTGGGGGCCTCTTGGGCCGTCTTGGAGGCGTCTTGGGCCGTCTTGGGGCCCTCTTAGGCCGTTAGGGGGCCCCTCTTGGGAGCCTCTTGGGCCGTCTCGGGGCGATTTTGGGGGCCTCTTGGGCCGTCTTGGCGTGTCGGGAAGCGGAAGAGGCAAGAACGCCAACATTTGTCAAAAACGTATGGGAAATCCATAATTTGTGCCTCTTGGGGCTCCGGTAGGGGAAGCACCTGGAGGCCTCTTGGGGCGCTTTGCAGGCCTATTATGCAGTCTGGAGGCCGTCAAGGCGTCTTGGACAGATCGTTCAGCGATTCGGGGTTCTCTTGGACTGTCTTTGGGGCCTCTTGGGGCGCTCTTGGCCCGTCTTGGGGCTTTTTGGGGCTTTGGGACTTCCCGGGGGGGCGTCGTATCTGACCCCCCTCCCCTGGGACCCCCCCACCTCCCCACCCCCCTCGGCGGGGTAGGGATCGAATGGACGGGGCCTCCCTTGGACTCAAGTACGACGTTGCTCAACTTCGCTTTGGCTGGCTTCGACGAACCCAGGGAAAGGGGGAGGCAGGGAAAGGGGCCGACAGAGACGACGACCAACGAATGACGGAGATGACGACTTGAGCGGACAAACCCCTCACACACGCCGACAGGGTCGGCGGGTTTCCCGACATCAATCACGACTACTTCCAAATGTTGTGCCAGCGACTTAACGACATTTGCATTGAGCGGAAACACACGAGCTGGAATATAAGCATATGCGGTCGTTGTTCACGACGCCCCATACGAGCTTCTATGTTATCGCTACGCGCGCGACCAAACGACCTCGTACTCGGAGATGCAGAGGACCACGAATTAACACCGACGTATCATAGCATTTCCCTTCGACTGAGCTCGCAGACGACATCGACAACGGTTTGGTGCGACTATGGCAACCGCACTACCACCGCGGCAGCACTGAAACATTTGCCTGGCGAAGGACCCAACCATATGCAGATGTGAGTACCGTCGTTGTATGCTCTGCGTTCGGAGGAGCTCCCAAAATGGTGCTCGGGATCCTGTGTGATTCGGACGCCATCAATTCATAACATGCCCGCAGGCCCTTTTGTTCGAGCTGCGTTGGAGGAGAAAGTGCCCCAATGTACGCTTTCCCCACGCATCCGCGTAACTTCCGCCATGGTAGCGGAGAGCGTGGTTCTGTGGTGAACTACGCAGATCAGATCCACGGGAAGACTGAGGACGCGCGCTGCCCACGGCAGCGGCGCTCAGAGAGCAGCTGGTGGATTGCAGAGGCGACGTCAAGCTGCCAGAGTTCAGCGGCAGAGAGGAGGACTGGCCCAGCTGGTCCATCAAAGCCCGCGCGTTATTCGCGCTGATGGGCTGGGATGACCTCATCGACAATGTAGAGGCCTAGCCAGCGCTCGCGGTGGATGACGTCAGCATGGGCGAGAGCGCGGCAGCGACGAGCAAGCTGCTGCACGCCATGCTGATCACCAAGACCCGGCGCAAGGCGCTGGCGATGTTTACGCTCGCAGGCAGGCGCGGGGGTTTCTCTGCCTGGCGAGCGATCAAGAACGAGGATGAGCCCGGGGTGGGCAACAGGTTCGCAGCCATGCTCAGCGGCCTGCTCAACCCCAGGTGGGACGACCAGAAGCCGTTCGCTGACCAGCTCGTTGACTGGGACAACGACGTGGCGAGGTACGTCATGCAGGCGGGTGAGGACTTCGGCGATGAGTTCCGCATCGCCACGCTGCTCGTCCATAGCCCCGAGCCGTGCGAGACCGTGCTGCGCACGCTCCGACGGCCGCCAAGGTCTCGCACGTGGCGCTGAGGACCCACCTGAGAGAGTGGATGGCGTCTGGACAGGCCTTCGCAGCTAGCGGCACGGTGGGCCAAGGCGCGGCGCCGATGGAGATCGGCGCGATCTCGGGCCATGCCCTGGCGCAGCAGCCTCGGCCCAAACGCAAGGGCGACAGGTCGGGGGGCGGCAAGGGCGACAAGATGGGCGGCGTGGGTGACGAGGGCGGCAGAGGCAGCAAGAAGGGAGTCAATACTGACAAGCTGCGGAGGCGCCTGCGGCGGCATAGCCGCCGGGGCGGTCATGCCTCGAGGGGCTTGGGCCAAGCTCGAGGATCGACGCCATGCGGAAGCGCCTCAAGGAGATCCACGCCCCGCACTATGGGGGCAAGGCTCAGTGCTGGGCGCGGCTCGTCGAGTACGAGGGCAGTCGCAAGGCGAGGGCGGCGACGGATGACTTCCGCGAGCTACTGCGCGAGGAGATGAGGCGTCAGGCGGAGACGGGGCAGGCGCTGGAACCGACCGCGTTCCCCGACGCCCGCGAGCCGCCGCCGGGGGAGAGACGGCGCCGCGAGGAGAACCCGCACTGCCCACCGCGGCGCCGGCGCGAGCACTGTCAGATGGGACGTGGGCGCGACAGGCCCCACGAGCTTCTTGATGCGGAGGTGGAACGCCCCCCCGCGATC